AGCGGAGGGGACCGGCGCTGCCCTGAGGGGAAGGCAGCAGGCGCCATGCAGCCATTTTGGTGAGCCAGCACGCTCCCGAGAGGTTATCTGTCTCTCCTGGATCCCCACAGCCGCTCGGGAAAATGCTCCACAGCTTTGAAAAGCCGCAGCGTGCTATGGCCGGTTGATGCTGGCTGGGGGGATTAGGGAGGCGTTGTTGGGCGGGCGTGAGACTTCGCATGCCCCTCGCTGGGTCCCGCGGTGGATTTTTTCACGAATCGCATTCCTCCTGCATCTGCGCTCAGATGACAGCTCTCAGTCGCTGGGCTGGCTGACCGGAGCAGCTCAGCTGATGCCAAGTGGCGAGTTTCTCGTTCTTGGCTCAGTGGGCATGGACAGACAAACCAGCTCTATCGGTCCACGGGGGGGAAACTTCTCCCCGACTCCTGCATTTAATCTCTTGGCAGCAGAGAGACTTAGTAACGATGGCTTATGGGATGTTGCAGGTACCAGGCCATGCATTTGTTAGCAAAAATCCACCCTAAACTGATGCCTGGCTCTTTCTCCCCTCTCTTCCAGATCAAGGATGACTGTGAAAGCTGTAAAAATGTCGTGCGCCACTCCAAATGTTTATACTAAAGTGCCTGACGGAGGATGGGGCTGGACAGTTGCCCTTGCTTTCTTCTTTGTGGAAGCTCTTACATATGGTATTATAAAATCATTTGGAGTCTTCTTTAAGGATTTGATGGAAAGCTTTGATGAAACCAACAGCAGGATATCCTGGATAATATCGATATGTGTGTTCGTACAGACCTTCACAGGTAAGCGCCCAGAGCGGCCGGTGCGAGTGGGAGGGCGGGTTGCTGGCTGTGCGTGAAGCCCTGATCCTTGTGTGACTTAGTTCCACTTCTTGTACCTCCTCCATTATAGATATCTTTAAAACCGATAGACAGCATGTTCCAGAAATACCAGGAAAAAAAACTGTCGCACTTGCCAGCCCCTGTGATAGCCACGTCTCCTCCGCGCCGTGTGCACGTCCCGCGCATGGGGTAGCCTGGCGGGGAGGCTGCAGGCGTGGGATGAGCCCGGGGAGGGCAGAAACGCAGCAGGAGAGGGGGCTCGGAGGGGACAGGAGCTGGCGAAGCTCCCGACGTGTCCGCGGGGTGACGTCCGTGGGGGTGACACGGCTCTTCTCTCCCAGCTCCTCTGTCGACGGTGCTCAGCAACCGCTTTGGCCACCGCTTGGTGGTGATGGCCGGAGGGGTGCTGATCAGCACCGGCATGGTCGCGGCCTCCTTCGCCCGCACCGTGGTGGACATGTATATCACCATCGGTGTCGTTTCTGGTGAGTTGCCTTATTCCTCTGCCAGTCAAGTGTTTCCTCTTGCTAACGAAGCTTGCAGCAAACGCAGCCCTAGCCCTAAGGGTTACGTTGCAGTTCTCTCTTCTCTCTCCCTCCATGCTGCGATTTATTTTTTGCAAAGGCTGGGTATCAGTCACTCTGCAACTTTACTCTTAACTCTCTCCCTCATCTGCAGCTTTTCCCACAGAGCTGGTTGCAGAGGAAATGGCTGTGGGGCCCCCCCCCCCCCCAATATTATAAGATCCGTGTGCATGAGACCCTCGGTTGCTTTAAGCACTGCTGCTCACAACATCTTTCTTCTCAGAAGTCCCAACTTGCATATTCAGCCTGTGCACACAGTCGCTGGCACCTAGTTGCGGCCAGTCTCTTCGGAGATTTATTTCGCTCTCCGGAGAGCAGTGATGGCTTTCGGGACGCGAGGGTTTGCTTTTCTTTCCTGTCCCGGTTTCCTGTGTCACCCAGGGCGCACCTCTGGGGATTCGGCTGCGCACACTGCCGACCGCTCTCGCGGATGTTCTCCTTGTTCCCGATTCCCTGGGATTTCGGTGGGAGATGAAAGCACTGCCCGCTTCCCGGGAGCAGATCCTCTAACCTCTCCCTCGCCCCGTGCGGCCAGCCCCACCGCGGTGGCCGGGAGCCTGCCTAGCTTAAGGGAGCAGTAGCCACAGCCTCCAACTCTGTAAGCCCACGAGGCCCTCAAAGTGGGCACTGCTGGCTGCTTGGGAGCAGATGGCACTATCTAGCGGGTTTGGGGTTTTTTGTTCTCTTTTCTTCTTCCCCCCCTTGGTTTTAAACCAAAAGAAATAACATTCTGGTTTCCCCGATGATTCTCTTCCAGGGTGACTTGCTGAGTTGGCCGAAATGACACTGTAATCTCGCCACCGGGAAAGCTGACTTAACGTGTTCTCGCATCGGTGTGTTTCCTTCTTCCTTACTTGTTGTTATGGCAATTTTTGGCATTTATTCACAGGCCTTGGATACTGCCTCTCTTTCCTCCCGACTGTCACCATTTTATCACAGTATTTTGACAAAAGACGTTCGCTGGTCACAGCAGTGGCATCTACAGGAGAATGTTTTGCTGTCTTCTCCTTTGCGCCAGGTATAGTGACCAAACACTGTGCATAGATGCATGCCTAAAGCGCAACACCCTCCGGATCCTCTCCCCAACCGCGTGGGACCCTGAGGCCTTAAATACGGGGCTAGCGCTTGCGGGCCTTACTGTCGTGAGCCGCTAAACCCCACGAGCGAGTGCTCGCAGCAGTTGCCTGCCGGGGGCCCTCGCGCCCTGCAGGCAGGGTTACAAGTACAGCAGAGACCAGCCTCACAACTTCTAGCACCCTTCTCCCTCCGCGGCAGCTGCTGCCTCGCGTAGGGGAGCGATGGGTGCTGAGGACCCCCACATCTCCCAGCACAGGAGGCCCCAGAAGGAAAGTCGGCCCCTGGGCAGGGAGAGGGGAAGAGGCGCGATCTGCGTCTGGCCAGCGATGGGGGAAGAGGGCTTTGCTCTGGTTCCCAGCATCTCCGGGCAGAACAGGGCACACTAAGCTGATACCCAATCCGCCGGGCCCCATATACAGATCTAGCAGGCTAAAAATACAACTGAGAAACGTCAGCTATTTAAAGCCTATGCTGTAGAAGTAACTGCTCCTAAAGGTTAGTGGGCTTGTGCTGAGCACGTGCCTCAGGAGCCGGGCTGCCGGGGCGCCCGAGCCTTTCAAGGAGCTTCCCCGGCCCGAGAAGGCAGCACATCTCCTGCCCTGTCACTTGCCCTCTCCCTCTCGGCACAGCGCAGGTGCCAGGTTTCTCTTTATAGCTCAGCTAAACCTTCTGATGTGCAAGCTTGCTTTCAGTTAATACCCATTACAAAGCTGCTTTAATTGCAAATGAAGATTTGCAGTTAAGCAGTTGCATGCACCTTTGTGTGAAGCTAACAGACTTCCTCTGTAGCTGGCTTCAGGGTGGGGTCAGCTGAAAGAGGAAACACAAATGTTTTTCGCTCTCATTCACTAAAAATAACATCACCTCATTTCTTGCACATCACAAACGAGCTGGAGCCTCAGAAGTGACTACCGAAAAGATAGTTGCTGCTGGTCGGGCTTTAAGCAGATGCTCTGCGCTGCTGTCTACTGCAGCTAGGCTTAAACATGGGGTGCAGGGTGCCAGGTGGGGTGCTAGCCCTGGTGGGTGCCGGACAGGACACTGCTGGGTGCACTGGCAGAAGTAACCTCTGCTCGGCCTCTGCGAGAGCTGAGGGGCTTGGGACCCTCCCAGCTTAGCCGGAGTAGAAAGCGATAAAGCTTCAGTTACTTCATTAGCTGAAAACTCAAGTAGCTTCTCAGGGTGCAACTGCCAGGTTTTTAGTTACTTTCTTTGTCTGCCCTCCTTCTGCAGCAATCACTGCTCTGAAGGAGCAGATCGGCTGGCGATACAGCCTCCTTTCCGTTGGGGTGCTGCAGCTGAGCATCGTCATCTGCGGATCGCTGCTGCGACCCATCATCATCAAAGAGCAAGAAGTGAAAGTCCAGCCTGCGGAAGAGCCCGCAGAGACAAAGTACATGCTTGAAAATGAGCAAACGCGCACCTCAATAGAGTCCATTGACTCAGGAGTAGAAATAACTACCTCACCCAGCAATGTGCCTGGAAACACCAAAGTAGAGCCGAAGAGTGAAGAACCAAAGGAAAACGTACAGATCCCTGTTGAAAATAACAGCACCCCTACAGAACCAAAAACCAAACTACTGGACTTCTCTGTGATGAAAGACTATAGCTTTATCTGTTATGCGTTTTTTGGTCTATTTGCTACCCTGGGATTCTTTGCTCCCTCACTGTACATCATTCCCCTAAGTCTCAGCCTTGGCATCAGCAAAGACCACTCTGCCTACATACTGTCTGCAATGGCAATCGCAGAGGTCTTTGGAAGAATTTCAGCTGGCTGGGTCCTCAACAGAAAGCCTATCCGCAAGATCTACATTGAACTCATCTGTGTTATTCTGCTGTCTGTAGCATTGTTTGCCTTTCCTTTTGCCTCTGAATTCTGGGGGTTGATGACATGTAGCATATTTTTTGGGTTCATGCTTGGGACAGTGGCAGGCACGCACATCCCACTGCTGGCAGAAGATGACGTGGTTGGCATCGCAAAGATGTCTTCTGCAGCTGGAGTCTACGTCTTCATTCAAAGCTTAGCTGGGTTGGCTGGACCACCCCTTGCAGGTACCTCTAAAACGTTCATGT